CCTCTCTTCCAGTGTCCTCCGTCCGCCCCGCTCTCCTCTTCCTCGCCGGTCTTAAACCCTGAAACTCCCGCAAAGCCACTTCATCGCGTCCAGACCGGAGAAACCATAACTCTGTCTCAGCTTGGATCTCTCCCTGCAATCAACCCACCTACATACGCTCGCGCGCACACCTGATCAACCCCTCCCTTGCTGCTGTGACCAAGGCAGGTTTCCTCTGGGAATGACACATGCACACAAACGCACGCTTCTCACAAACACACACTCCCCTTGGTGTATTCCTCCCACCACCACCTGCCTTAAGAGGCTTTACGGGTCCAATCTGCCGGCTCACTTGACTTGAACTCACATCCCAATTAGCTGATACTCTCTCTTCATCTCCTGTCTCTCTCAAAGCTTAATCCACTCTCAGAGATAATATGGAGAGGGGACAATCGTATGAATCCTATTTCTTGATGAGTGTGTGACCAAAGCAGCGACCAAAGTTGCTTCTCCCCGGCGGAATGATTTCACTTTTGTGTTCTTGTCATTGGAGCGGCTGGCTGGTCATTTGTAAACCCGATACGAAGGCTGGCGGCCACGGAGTCACTGTGGGAAACAATGAGAGGGAGAGAGAGAGCATGAGGGTGTGTCCTGGGGCAGGGAATATCCGTCTTTCACTCCTTGTCCGGATGGTTCCCAGAGCGCACGGGGCTCTCATCCCCTTTTCTCTCTCTACACACTTTGACCAACATTCTTTTTTTTTTCAATACCATATTTACGTGTGAGAGTATTCTGAATGCTTTTCGCATCTCTTTTATCCTCTCCTGAGTGTTCTGTTTCCCCTCTGTCCTTTGTTGTGCCTCACTGGTTCCTCTCCTCCAGTTTCAAACCTCTGCAGTCCACGGAACACTTCAAAGCTCAGCTTGGCAGAACTGTTCTCACAGTTCTGTTCAGACCTGTGAATAGAAATGATTTGTCCTTCAAGCTTAATTAAAACACCCGTGCTGTTGCGGATGATGTACTAAAAGTTGTTTACAAAAGACAAACAGACTTTCACGCCTGCAGGAAAGGTGTGAAGCGGCTTCTGTTGGTCAGGACGCACAGGGCAAAAGTGCTTACGCGGTTCTCACCCACCTGCAGACTGATTTCTTATGACACGTTATAATTGAACCCACTTTTATGATTGAACTTGTTTCGACAGCTGCGGCTCTGAAAAGTGTTAATGTGCTTAATGGAGCCGCCGGGTTGCAAATACTAACCGGCTGAGCGCATAAATATAAAAGAGAACTGTAGGGTGTGTAGGCATCTTTTGAATATTGGCAGCGGTCACATGGCACACATATTTTCCATATCTCCTCCAGTCCTCTCTTGTTGGACCCAAGACCTCCACACAATGCACCTTCTTTATCAGAGAAAATCTAATGAGATTCTCCCTCCTCCCCCTTCTCAATCTTAAAGTCTATCACGGGCTTGTTGCTCAAGAGCTTCCCTGACAACCGCTGGTGTTTCCGCGGCTTGGCGCTCCGCGTTGACCCCGGAGCGGAACAGAGGGCTCTTGAGGAGCAGAGGCTTAATTTGCATGGGGGAAGCAGTGACCTCGAAGCACGAGCTGAATTCTAACCAAGCATCCGGAAACACACGTGCATCACTGGGTCTGCGCAGAGGTTGCAGCGTGTGGCTCACCTGAAGAAGAAGAGTCACAAAAAAAGTAATCCTTTCACTTGCTTTCTTGGTGCCTACATAACGGATATGCAGTTAGTTGTGCATTTAGCTCCATCTAATGGTCAATACGCGTTTTATTGCGCAGGATTTGAAAAGGCAGATTTATTTATTTATTTTAACACTATTTAAACTGCCGTGAAAACAATGGCTCATTTCAAATTAGGATAAAAAACACATTTAGGAGTTATTTAATCAAAATGTAATACTAATAAATAATGCATATAGATAAGTAACCTGCTTCCTCGGGGCCTTTAGAATGAGCTTAGATCAGATTTGATTTCCACATGTCTAATTTTTTTTTTTAATGTTTCATCCACTTCAAACAAATAATGGACCATACAGAGAAAATAAGCATAAAAACAGAACATTAGCTCTAAAATATCCACTAACCTCTATCTAACTGAATTTCTGTTATTTCCTTAACTAAAACCAAAAACACATTAAATTAAAGAACTCAAAAAATACAAGAACTTTCATTTTTCCACTCAGAAATCAAATTTTCTTTCCTCCACTATGCAGGATTATGCAAATTCAATATCATCAGTTCAGCTTATGATGCATGTGACCGTCCTTTCTTTACTTCCCATGCTTTCTGTTTACACTACAAACTGTGAAATAGAGGTAAAACTATTAAAGTGAAACCGAAGTTTTATCCTCTAAACTTGGGATGCTTCTCTTTAACTGAAGGTAGCCTACATATCTGAAGGTTTAGGAAGTTTAGTTACACAGTATGAATTTTTTGCAGGTGAATTTGGAGGATAAAAATTCAGTGTTATAAATTCAATGTCTAAAAATAGTTGAATTCTGATGATACTATATTTCTTCCATACTTTGCAAACTAAAAATACTTAAGAGATGATTTATAAAATTTATTTATTTTTTAAGTGGTACTGACAGGAACAGCTTCCACGCATAAGCTGCTGGATAAGTATAAGCTGCCTTTCAGTCTCTGAAAGATTACTGTGTTGGTGAATGGGAAGGCACTGGGCATGTTGCCAAAACCATGCCCCCCCCCCCCCCCCCCCCCCACACACACACACACACACACACACGGCGCCCTGGTGACTGAGGTCAGTGCTTTCTCAAGGCAAAATAAGGGAGTGTGGAAAGGCTTGGGAAACTGCAGAAGAATGTGGATTTCTGTGTACACCGTTGAGCTGACCTGAAGACAATTACTCAGGGCACATAACAGGGAGGCCCTGTGTACACCGGGCACAGCTGATAGTGAGAGTCTAAATTAAGCCTTTCAGGCCTAATTCACATGTCACTCTGTCTGAATCTAGTCTGTGAGAGGAGGACGTGCTCCTTATTAGCATGTCTGCAAACATATCGTGTGAAGGCTGAGAGGAAAATAGACAATAAGAATTTACTGAGACAATAATTCATATTGTCCATGATTCTGAGCTACTTTTGTTTACCCACCTAATTTTATGTTACTTACAGAACATTGCAGAAAAACCTTTTTTGCACTTACATGACAACATTTTAAACTTAAATGAAAATATACACTCATCCATCCCTTCATTAAATACAATAATGCACATATTCAATCATCCAATCACATGACAGTAAGCCACTGCATTCAGGCATGTAGACATGGTCAGAACAACCTGCTGAAGTTCAAACAGAAAATCTGAAGGAGGAAGAAAGGTGAATTAAGTGACTCTGGGTGTGTCACTGTGGCCGGTAGATAGGCTGGTTTGAGTATTACAGAAACTGCTGATCTTCTGGGATGTTGCCTCACAAACATTTCATTTCATTCACCCACATCAACTTTTTGGTATTCAGAGAATAGTCAGATGAATTTGGAGTAAATATAATATGAACCATGCATCTTTACTGCCTCGTATGATGAGTTTGATTGTGATGGTGTAACGGTGTGGGGGTTATTTTCTTATCATGCTTTGGGCCCCATAGTACCAACTGAGCATGGTTTAAACACCACACCCTGCTTGAGCATTGTTGCTGACCATGTCCATCCCTCTATGACCAGTGTACACATCTTCTTCCAGCAGGATAACACACCATGTCACAAAAACTCAAATCAGCTCAAACTTGAAGATGAACTTGAACATGAGTGACTTCACTGCTCTCAAATGGTCTCCAGTCACCAGATCTCAATCCAATAGAGGGCCTTTGGGATGTGATGAACCAGGAGAGTCGCAAATGTGTGATGCTACATGGAAAAATCTGTCAGTAATGTTCCCGGCACCTTGTTGAATGCATAGCATGAATGGATAGATACTAGCAAGGTGTACCTAACAGTACCCAGTATAGAGTTTATCCAGTTATCACTACTGAACAACCTAAAACTTCAGGTCCACCTACCCTTTGTTTTTTGAAATACTAGAAATTGCATAAACTAGGTTCAATGATAAATCAAATCGCCGTAAAATATCTACACAGCTGTATGGAGGCCCATTTTCAGCAACAAGCCTTCCTGTTTTAATGTTATGATGTGACTTAATGCACAATTTTTATCCGAAATTTTTTTTAGTAGAGTAGAAAACAAAATATTCACGCAAGTGTCCAGAGAATCAAGTCTGTTTTCATGTTTGCTTCATAATACAATGATCCTCTAAAAATAATATCTTTGTTCTGAAATGCAGCAGAACCCTTTTTCTACAAAAGCAGCCCTCACATCTGTGACAGGTATGTACTACTGGCTCGAACACAAAAACAATTATACTGCGGTTTGAGAAGCACATTCACACATCTTCAATTAGCAGCTTCATTATCTCATTTCAACAACACCAGTCTCAACACGAACACTGCAGTTTTGGAGGTGTAATAGCGTGCGAGCATTTGTTGGGGGAGCAGATGACGAAACGCTGCAACAATGCAACACCAGCCATCCATTAAATAATATACCAATGATTAATGCCAAATACAGGGAGAGAAAGTGGCTTCAGAGATCTAGGTTCTACTTCAAAGCACAAACTAAATGAGATTCCAGTGCATTTATTTTACAAGTAGGATGGCTACGGTGAATTATATGGAGTCCCATAAAGTTTCCATGTTTTGTAATAATCAGAAGACTCCAAAGAACTAAATTTTCTGCAGATGCGGTCTAAATTCAGACTGCAGCACACAGCATTGGTATTCTTTAAAAAAAAAAAAAACCACACAGGGTTTTCTCAATGCTGGTTTCTCCTTCTACATGTTGTGCAGCTGAAGTTGTTTAAACATGAGATCCTTTTGACTACAGGGACTTGAGAGAAAATGTTTAACACAAGAGGAGAGAAAGCATCGCCTATTGGCGGAAAGCTCAAACTGCAGCTTAAATGAAGAGCAGCACATTCTTAGAACAGTTTTATTTATAAAAAGAAAAAGAAAAGCTCCAGGTACAATGTCTGGTAAACCAGACTCTGGGTGCAATGCTTTATGACAAATATAGAAGACATATCAAGCTGCTTGTGGATTTTGATGTAAAGCTAAAAAAAAAAAAAAGACACCAGCTTGACACATACTTACGTGCAACCCTGAAAGTCAATTTCTAAGAATAAATCACAGTCAGATTTACTGCAAGTTTAAAAAACAAAGACCACCCTTCCTGAGAGCTTATTTCTTAGCGAATGAAATCTTCATTGCATTCGTCTGTGTGATCTTGAAGCCTTGTAGTGCATCTCGTGCAGCTCCGGCCTGCACCTCGTTCTCAAACTCCACAAATGCGATGTCGTGGCGTCCGGGGACCAGACGCACCTCTTTGAAACCTGGGAACCTAAAACGCACACACCAACAGTTAGGCTCAGCCTATAACAGACACAAGCGTGCAAAACTAGATCTAGAGAATGGGTTTGCTACTGACTGGTTGAAGAGCATGGACAGCATGAGCTCGTTGGTCTCCTCCGGCAAGTTGGTGAGGAAGAGGATGTGATTGGGGGGATTTTCTGCAACCTACGAGTACACATTGGATATCAGATTCAATCAACCAGAAAAATATCAATTTATTAAATTAAATGAAGACACAACATGCTCTGTGACAAAACACTACCTGCTGGGGCATTTGTCCAGGCATCTGCCCAGGCATCATCTGACCAGGAGGAATGGCACCAGGGGGCATCTGGCCAGGTGCCATCCCTGGAGGTGGCATCATGCCTGGAGGGGGCATGTAAGGTGGCTGGCCAGGCATGTGCATCATACGGGGAGCCTGGCTCATTGGAGGCATTCCCTAAAGAGTGAAGAGCTTGTTAATAGAAAACCCGATGTCCATTTTCCTCTTCTGAGATGTGTGTGCTACTATTTACATTTGTCAATGAAAATAGGGTCAGTTTTCAATCACACAAACTGTTCTAAATGCAGGAGAAACTTTCTCCCTTTGCTTTTGTTTCCTTATTTATTAATATTGTTCCTAAAAGGTTCATCCCAATTCAGTATCATGTTTTTTGTTCTGCAACTTGAGCTGAAAACATGTTTTAGCCATAAGAACAACTTCATTGATAACAAACGGAAATTCATATGTTTGACACAGCTCATCTGCCATTTGTAGAGAATGATTTTCTGTATCTATATATCGAAGTCTGCTGTATGCAATGTAGAAAGCCATGGACCCAGGACAGTCCCCTGTGGAGCCCCCATGTTGCTCATTAATGTCTCAGAAACACACCTGACAAACTGTGGCCTTTCTTTAGGGTATTCTGTGATCCAGGAAACAGTAGGAATCTACTATAAAACATCTACTCTATAGAACAAAATAACCAAGAATTTTCCAACATATTAAAGTTCGAAATCTCAGGGTTTTTATACTTTGTGTCTCTGCCCACACTTTGGCTCAGAGCTCCTTGTGAATACATGATAGTTGCCAAAATAACCAATAAAACAGCTCTGGCTCCACTTACAGGCATAGCGGCAGGCACACCAGCGACCATGGCTGCACCAGCTACACCCTTCTTTGGTCCAGTGCCATCGGGTCCTTTGATCTTCTTCTTCTCTTTTTTGCGGTCACGCTCTACGTAAGTCCCCTTCATTTTAGCTATGATGTCAGAGTCAGTCTTTGAATACTGTATGCGCTGCAGGACCAAACAGAAAGATCACATGTGACACACAAACTATGGTAAGCAGCAGTTGTGTGATATTCAGTGTTTAGTTACCCTACCATCGGTTTATCATAGAAGGGGAAGCCCTGCATGGATCTCAGCGCATTGGAGGCGCTGTTAATCTCTTTGAAGATAACAAAGGCCTGACCCTTCATCTTTATGTTTCGTGCCACCAGGATATCCAAAATCTGTCCGAACTGTGAGAAGATGGCGTACAGCGACTTTTTCAGCTCTGCAGTAAAAAAACAAAACACACACACACACACACACACACACACACACACACACACACACACACACACCACAAAACATAAAATGATTACTCTGGTTGTGCTTATTTAAACGGAAAGAGATTTCAACGTGCAAACCTCACCATCTTTCTTGATCTTCTCATTCAGGTTGTTGATGTAGATAGTATGATTTAGCCGGACATCCGGGGTGGCCATCCTTTAATCTGCTGATGAGCGTTTGATGAACGTTTGTATCTTTAGAGACAGTCTGAGGCACAGTTTAGATTAGATGCTAAGTAGCTAACTAGCTAGCGACCGTTAGCAAACACTCACCAAACGTGACGGAGAGGGTTAGCCTGCAAGCTATCTACTACAAATTAACACCTTGTTTGGTGTTTTACATGTATATACTAATCACCCAAATACTTAAGATCGTCACAAAAAGCTCAAATGCATTATTTAAGTACATGAAAGCGCGGAAGAAGTGTTTCTTTATAAGAAAATTAACGATTCAAGTCTTTAGCTTGACGTTCCTACCTGATGAATGAAAACCCGGTCTTCACAAATCCCGTTTTCTGTTCTCGCGATAACAGTGCAAGCGTAACTTCCGATGTTTAACATCCGTGTCCCATTTTATTATTATTTTTTTTCCTGTTGTAGCTGTTTCCAATCATTGTGGCAACATAACATTTTGTGTCACAGTTTTGGCTAAAAATATAACATAGGGGCAGACATTCTGATACAATTCTTCTCAGAGTTCAGATTATGGTGTGGCACATATTTTAGTCCGGGTTATTTTAGCGCTTTTTTAAATTCTTATAATTTATCTTTAGCTTCATATTTAACTAGCAGTTAGAGTCATATGTATTAATTTTGCAGTTGGTACTGAGATAATTTAGATGCACTGGAGGGCGGTATGTTTCTATGTTCCTGAGGAGTGACTACACAAAGAAGAAGAAGACGCAGCGCGAGAGTAGTACTGCCAAATATGGGGACAAGCCGGGTGTCGTTAGCTGGCTTTGCTAGTTAGATAAGTGGGTGTGGGGTAAGTGTACAAAAGACCATAAACCAAGTACTTGTATATGATTTCTGCACACCAGTTTGCACTAAAATAGTCTCCAACATCGAATAACGTTCGTCATTTGGTCCTGTATGTTGACAGGTTTAGTTATTAGCTTATTATAAGAAGAAGTCGAAGTTGGGCAGGTAGTTGCAGGTTCTATAATTACAGTTTATACTGGCTTGCTGCAGCTTGCCCCCGTTTTCTAACTAATTTCTACTTTATTAGTCCAGAATTCCTCAGGATAGAAGAAGATGTCAATGGAATGCTCCCTGCCACCTCCACCGCCTCCACCTCCTCCACCTGCTCCATGTACACCACCTCAAACGTCAGCACCAAAGAAGAAGCTGTATCAGACTATAGCCAGCAGTAGACGTGCTGTAGAGGGAGATCACACAGAGGCTTGCTTGCTGATCAGTCAGAGGGAGACCAGGTCAGGTTTTTATCATGAATGTTTTCGCTTTGTGTGGAAAATTGATAAATCTGCATGTAACGCGGTTAAAGGACCAGGGCGCCTGACTGCAGCCTCATAGACAATGAGCTATCAGATTAAGATTCGACTATGGAGCCTGAGGGTGTGAATAAAACACAGGAAACAAAAGTAGAGCTCAAATATATATATATATATTATGTTTGTTATGAGAAGTGTATAGACGGATGTACAAAAGAAATAAAAACATATGCATATATATCACAAACAAAAATAATGTTGACAATACAAAACAGCTTAGTAGGTTCCAAAAGGAGGTGGGATGAGGTGTAGTCCAGTATGTGATTTAGTTTAGTTCCATGGACCCGTGATAGGTCATTGTCAACAATTTGTGATTCAGTCCATAGGTTCACAATTCCTACCGCAACGTAGCGGTGGTCGGGTGGCTCGCCATCTCGCGCTGATCAGGGCTGATCGCGGGAGAACAAAAAAAAAACCTGACCTAAACAAGGTCAAAAAACAGAAATTATCATTCACAGAAGAAAATGAAACAGCATTCTACTGCTGTGACAAAATAAATACATAAATCCATAAATAACAAAGTCAAGTAATCAATGCCATGTTTCATACAACAATCAATAAACCATCTCCTATAATGAATGTCATTCTAAATACTATTCTAGAAAGACATTCTCATGGGTCCCATCAAAGTATATCAGCGTTAAAGCTAATAAATATTATCCAAAGTTAATCAAATATATTTACAAAACTCATTTAATCACAGGTGTTGCGCAACAGATTCAATAATGTAAATGGAATTTAACTCAATGCAAAATCTCATAGGCCGTTTCGGCATTTCATCAGAAAAGTAACAAAAAACATCCAAAACGGACAAAACTACAAAAATCAAATCACTCGTTCAACTCTAGATACGTTAAGTCAACATTCGGCCATAATGGAATAAACAAAAACAACAATATTCAATAGATGACACTAGTAATTGCACTTACTGTCGCTAGCCTAGCATTAGCTTACCGGCATTGTAGGATGTGCGATCGCGGCTCCGCATGTACATTAATTGTGACAAAACAAAACAAACAAATAACTCACCGTTGAGTCGAGTGTGAGGTAGTGTAAAGATGAATGAATCGGCCGGGTTATTGCACGCTGTCAACTGGCCTGTAGTGCAAAATTTGTCGATATCTGACAAGTACGCCAACCACAGGGACAACAGCAGCCAGAGGAGCAGGGACATGCAGCTGATTGACCCGGAACTTATACAGGATTCATTCCCGCCACAATAAAGGGACTGGCGGAAGTGGGGTCAGAAGTTACCGTGGTTACACTCTCCCCCCTAATCTCATGGACGTCCTCGTACATGGACTAGGCTGGCAGCGAATGACTGGTTGGCTGAGGTGCGAAGGCATCGTCTCCTCTTCTTCATCGTCTTGAAGAGCGAAGGAGAAGACAGAACTTAACCCATGCAGGAAGGTCTGAACGCTCTTTAACAGAGGCTTACCAGGCTTGATGTATTGCAGCCGATCAGGAGGATTCCTGGTGCGGGTTGAATGCCTCAAAGGTGGTTCTGCCTCAGGACTGAGAGGCTCTGATTCAGTAGGTGAGTGTTGTGACAAGTTACTTCTGGATGCTTCCGAATCAGAAGACAGACTTTCTTCATCGTGAGAAGTTTCGACAAGATCAACTGGCTCAAAGCCAGCTTCCACGGTTCCGCTAGCAATAACTTGTTCCTCTTCAGCAGGTACAGGTTCCTCTGAGAGGATAGCATTCTCTTCCTCTGTAGCCAATACTACAGGGACATCGGGCTGGTTGATAAGTGGCACAGGTTGCGGAGTATTGGGTAAGTCGATGGTTGTTGTGAAGGTGACAGGTTCAGCAGAGAAGGGAACAGGTAGGTATGAGATTAGTTCCTCTTCGTCATTGTTATCAGCATCATCAGCACGTACAGGAGACACGGGTAAGACAGGCATTTTCCTCTTCTGCTTAGTAAGCATTTCCTTTTCAGGTGGTAAATACCCACAGGGCAGTAGGAGGTCTCGATGTAAAGTTCTCAGGGGCTTGTCTTGGCCTTCGGGTCGAACTGTATACACAGGAAGAGTGCCGGCTTTCTTCACTACAATGTACACAGATGACTCCCATTTATCTGCAAGCTTGTGTTTGCCTCTTAGCCGCACGTTCCTCACAAGAACTCTGTCTCCAACATTCAGCTGTGATGCAGTGACATTTTTATCAAATCTGTTTTTGTTACGTTTCATCACCTTTTCTGAGTTTTCGATGGCCAGCTTGTAACTTTCTTCTAGGTGGGACTTTAGTTTGTCCACATATTGTGTGTGGGATGTTGATCCTTCTTTGGCAAGGGGTAGTCCAAAGGCCAAGTCCACCGGTAAGCGAGGTTGGCGGCCAAACATAAGCTCATATGGTGAAAAACCTGTAACATCGTTTCTTGTGCAATTGTATGCATGCACCAGAGGTTTTACAAAATCTTTCCAATGGGATTTCTGTTGAGCTGTGAGTGTTCCTAGCATATCCAGTAATGTTCGGTTAAACCGTTCAACAGGATTGCCTCTTGGATGGTATGGAGTGGTTCTTATTTTGTGGATCCCAGCCATTTCACAAAGCTCTCGGATGATTCTGGATTCAAAGTCAGGGCCTTGGTCACTGTGCAAACGTTCTGGGATACCATAATGCACAAGAAAGTTGTCCCATAAACATTTGGCAACAGTCCTGGCTTTCTGGTTTGGTGTTGGCACAGCAATGGCATATTTTGTGAAATGGTCAGTTATGACAAGTATGTCTTTGACTCCACGATCTGGTTCCACAGAGAGAAAATCCATGCACACCAGTTCCATGGGATGAGAGGTTTTGATATTGACCAGAGGTGCGGCTCGTTCAGATGGGGATTTGCGTCTCACGCATCTTTCGCACTGTCTTATTTTATTGACCACATCACGTGTCATCTTAGGCCAATAAAACCGGGAACGGACCAAGTCCAGCGTTCTGTCGATTCCCATGTGACCCATTTGATCATGTAGGTGGTTAAGTACAACTGGCCGATATTCCTCAGGTAGCACTAGCTGGTATGCGAAGTCACTTCCCACTTGTCTCTTCCTGACGAGAAGGGTGTTATGGAGCTCCAGTTTATTTACTTCTCGCAGTAATAGAGGTAGATCGGGAAGTTCTTCCCTCAGGAATGGCGGTGGTGACTCGCCTCGTTCAACCTGAGCTATGACATGCCGGATGACAGGGTCAAGGCGTTGTTTGGCTGCAAGGTCAGCTGTTGAGATTTGGGGGAGTACCATGGAGGTGAACTGGATGTCGTCCGTGAAACTGTCAGGCAGACTGTCGACATTGACAGACATGGATAACACCAGAGCAAGATCAGGATCCGTGCTTGAACTGTACATCAGATGACGGTCACAAACTGCTTTGATGGTATGCTGGTCAATAGAGACATAATCTGGTTCATTGAGATGTTGCCATGCAAATCTCCAGATTCGCTCACGTTCTTTCTGTGACAGAGGATCATCAGACAGTTCACCATGAGGTCGGCGAGACAAACCATCAGCATCCGAGTTCTGCTTTCCTGCTCTGTAGATTAATTTGAAGGTGAAAGTGGACAAAGCTGAAAGCCATCTGTAACCGGTAGCGTCAAGTTTTGCTGATGATAAGAGGTATGTTAATGGGTTGCTGTCTGTCACAACTGTAAACTGAGCACCATAAAGGTAGTCGTGGAATTTTTCAGTCACCGCCCACTTCAAAGCAAGAAACTCCAATTTGTGGGCGGGATACTTTGACTCACTCCGGGAAAGACCTCTGCTGGCATATGCTACAGCTCTGTTTTTTCCATCCTGCTCTTGATACAGCACCGCACCAAGACCTGTGGCACTGGCATCAGTGTGGAGTGTGTATGGTTTCTGGGGATCACCAAATGCCAGAACTGGGGCAGAAGTGAGTTTGTCAATAATGGACTCAAAAGCTTGTTGACACATTTGCGTCCATCGTCCTCCAAATGGCTCTTTGGGGTTGAGGTAATTCTCTGGCTTTACAGTTCGTCTCAGTTTCCTCTGAGAAGGTGGATAACCAGCAGTGAGTTCATGTAACGGCTTGACAATGGCCGAATATCCCTGGACAAAACGTCTGTAGTACCCAGCAAAACCAAGGAAAGATCTTAATTCCTTCAAGTTTTTTGGCACTGGCCAAGAAGTGAGTGTGGAAATCTTGTCCAGATCAGTTTCAACACCAGCCTGGGACACTACATGGCCCAGATACTTCACCGATGTCTGGAAGAACATGCATTTCTCAAGTGAGAGCTTCAAGCCAAAATCTTTGAGTCTGGTGAGAACTTTCATCAGGCGAGCTTCATGTTCCTCAAGAGTTGGTGCAAAGACAATGAGATCGTCAATGAAAACCAAGACTTCTTTTAGATTTAATTCTCCCATGCATTTTTCCATCAGCCGTTGGAAAGTGCTTGGTGCGTTGGTAATCCCATGTGGCATCCGATTAAATTCCCAAAATCCTACTGGGCAGACAAAGGCAGTCTTTGCCTTATCCTTCTCCTCCATTTCGATTTGGTAGTAACCCGACTTGAGGTCTAGCACCGTGAACCACTTTGATCCTGCAAGTGCGGAGAAGGTGTCTTCCAGTTTAGGCAGAGCATAAGCATCTTTGATTGTTTGCAGATTGAGTTTGCGGTAGTCAATACAAAGACGTATACTGCCGTTCTTTTTGCGTGCAACCACAATTGGAGAGGCAAATGGTGAGTCAGATTCTCTGTTAACGCCAGAGTCAAGAAGTTCTTGCAGGTGCTTCCTGACAGCATCAAGATCTTGAGGGTGAATTGGTCGTGGTCTTTGCTTGAAAGGAGTTGGATCGGACAATTTGATTTGGTGTTTAACTTTGTTGGTCCTGCCGAAATCCAGATCGTGTTTGGCAAATACTTCAGGAATAGTGTTGAGTTTTTGAACAATGCGTTCTTTCCAGTCTGG